GTCCACGCGGGCTCACGGGCTGTGCCAGAGCCTGAACTTCGAAGAGATTTAACTGGGACAGTGACAGGGCCTGATTCGTGATTCGTATTTCTAAAAGGTCATTCTGGCTGCTGCTGGAGGTTGGGCAAGAGAAGGGAGGCGGGTGCCGGGGGCGCCTGCAGCATCGCAGGCGACAGAGGGGTGGTGGCCTGGACCGGGGTGGTGGCCTTGGAGGTGGAAATCGTTGCTCACAGCCTCTTCCCCAGAAGTGCTCCCCCACCATCATGGCCAGGAAGTAAGCAGGGGGGCCTGGAAAAGCATGTCCTTTCAGGCACGGGTGGATGGATTCCAGCGCCGTTTCCCAGGTCCTCCATATCACGATGTGCTGTCACGACATTATGTTACAGTAGCAAACATATTGGGTAGGTTCGGGATGTGGCCCTGGACCAGGTGTGGCGATGGAGGTGGACTAAGGAAAAACTCAGCCGTTCTTGGCTGAACGGCTCCAGGTCCCAGCATCACCCTCTCCCTCGTGGAGATCCCGGGAGCAGGACCCTTGCAGAGCTGACATGCCTGGGGGCCTGGCCTCGTCCTGGGCCCTTGGAGCAGCAGCAGCAGCTGTGTGTGCAGGAGGAGAACCTGCTCTGTCTTCGGGGGGGCTGGGCTGTGTGACAGGTGACCGTCACTTTGTCCTGCACGAGGAGGAGCCCCGCCGGGAGCACCCACTAGTGTGTGTGTGTGGCCGGGCCACTGAGCTGCTGCCCCGGGGCTGGTCCAGAGACTGGAGCCTCAGTGCGGAGAGTCTAGGGAGGCAGGAGCCAGCGCAGACTTAACCGGTGGCATCTTTTCAGCTGGCAGCCAGGAGACAGAGCTTTGAATCAGCTTTATAATTTGAAAATTGGTCTCTTTGCATCGGGTGGTTATTTCGCGCTAACAGAGCCATCAGGGACGCAGTGCTGCTTCCCTTCCTCCACGGCTCTGCTCCGGATCCACTAATGTGGGGCCTGAGATGGAGCTTTTCCAGCCCTGGGATTCTTGGATTACTGCGCCCTCTTGTCATGGGGGGCCTGGGGGCCTGACGGAGCCCCGGGTCTGGGTGGGGGGTCATCCCAGTGGGTGGGGGACAGTGACTTGAGGAAGGGAGGCTGAGCTGGGCCTCGAGGTGCAGCCTGGGTGAGGCCGGCTGAGGGCCACGCCTTTCTCCCCCATGTGCGCATACGTGTGCGCACATGCGCGTGCGCGTGTACGTGTGTGTGCACGTGCGCATGCACATGTGTGCATGTGCATGCATGTGTGTACATGTACGTGCGTGCGTGCACGTGTGTGTGTGTGTCCCGAGGCCCTCCGTGGTGTCACGGGGCTGCAGCAGCGCTCGGGTGCCGGGACTGAAATACTGCCGGCTGTTTTCCTGTCCTCTGGCTGGGATAGGCTGACATTCCATTTCTCCCCACGGGCTTGTTCGTATGTGCTTTCTCCAGATGGTGCGCTCCTGAGAGGTCCTGGGGCTCTGGGAACAGTTCATGGTATAAATGAGGTCACCCCCAGCGCAGAGTCCTCCGAAGTCAGCCCCCCAAGACGAGGCATTCAGACCCCCTCTCTGCTCCGTGGACCCTCGACCGCTTGCCCTTGGAAGCCCTGGTCCTGATGCCTCGGGGCGCCCGGGACGCTCCCATCCCGGCCTTTCCGGGGGGAAGGATGTGTCCGCTTGCCTACTGCTTCCTGCCTTCTTCCCAGACGTTGCCCAAAACCTCTGGCATTGCTTGGTTTGGGGAGGGGCTGGGCTGTGAGGGGATTAGGGCAACATCCGGGGGGCCGGCGAAGGTGAGAGTTTGAAGACCACAGCGTGCAGGAGGGCAGGAGGTGTTGGGGCCTCGTCGTCAGGAGAGGGTCGAGGTCTGGAGGGTCCCACGGGGTGGAGACACGGCTGCTTTTATGTCCGTGAGAGGAGAGGATCAGTGGGTCCTGGAGCTCAGCGGAGGCCAGTCAGCATCGTCGATGCCAAACGGGGGTCAGGAAGGAAGGTTATTCATTGAAGATCCAACGGGAAGTTCAGAGTCGCAGCCCTCGCTGGTGAGCCCGGTGAGACGCGAGCCCGCTGCACCCAGGCAGTCCGGGGTGGCAGATGGAAAGAGATGCGTCCGCCCTCCTCTGTCCTGCGGTGGGTGGCATGGTGGGTGCCGTCCCGGGAAGACCACATCAGATATCAGGGGTGTTCTTGGGGCGGAAGTGCAGCCCCTTCAACCTCAGGCCGTTACCCCCGAGGAGCTGCTTCACTTGTGGCCACATGTGAGTGCACACGTGTGCGGGTGGCACATGTGCGAGGCCCCAGGAGGCGTGGACACAGAGCCCTGGGTGGCCATGGGCACCCCGCCCTCTCCCTTCACGGTCCCCCGCTCTCCCACGCGATGGAGATGTGCGCGCTGCTCTCCGGGGGCAGGTGCCTCGGTACGGCAGGTTCTCTCCTCCAGCCTTTGCTTCCCGGGTCTCGTGGGAAAGGTGCAGGCCTGGCCTAGCGGGTCTTCCTCGATTTGTGCTTCAGACCCACCCGGTGAGCGCAGAGAGGACGGCAGCAAGTGTGCGAGAGACGAGACGGCGCAGGCACCTCCGGGGTCCTGCCGTCCTGGCTGAACCCCTTCCCCCAGGGGCGGGGGGGCGGCACTGCCTCACAGCTGGGGTGGGGGGGGCCCGAGGAGGGAGTGATGCTGACGCGGAGTCCGTGCCAGGCGGAGGAGACGGTGAACTGAGGAGTGGGGACGGGGCTCTGATGCCACCGGGGCCAGGTGTGAAGGCGCAGGAGGCAGCTGTCAGGGCAAGGAGGGCAGCCGACCAGCTGGTACCCGAGCGGACCTGCGATGCTTATGTGGTGTCGTGGGGGGTACGTGTAGCCGTCACGCCGTTCTCGGCCTCTTGTGCCCCTGGTAGACATCACTGATCCATCACCGTTCGCCTCCCTGCTGCGCTCAGGAAAGTCCCAGAACCCTTAGGTACAGCGTTTTGGACAGTCATGCCCATCAGTTGGCACAAGGCTGGACACTTGCCATCTGTCACTGGTGTGATTACCGGAAGGACATAGACTTTGGAATCTGGTGGGAATGACAGCCCAGGGAGGTACAAGCTTTGTAGCACTGAGCAAGCGTATTGGTCAAGACTCTTCTGGCTTCCGGGGACAGAAACCCAGTTTAGGTCAGCTGCAGTTTCTTGAGGAATAGAACCGGAAAGCTCAGGGTAAGGCTGGCATCAGGTATGGCTGGATGCAGGCGCCCAGTGGTTTTCAGTCTGTCTCTAGGGCAGAGTGGCTCCAGGCTCTGTGGCTAAGCCGGGTCACTTGCTGAGCTCTGAACTGGCCCCCATGCGGGACAGGGTGGCAGTGGGGGTGAGAGGGTCTAGACAGCCAGTCACACTGGGAGCAAAAGTTAGCTTGACCCTCAGACCTAGAGGGATGGGCCCAAGATGAGAGCGGGGAGAGGTGGCCGGGGAGGCAGCGTGCTCACCCGGACCCAGTGTGCTGCGGTGGGGCGGGGAAGGGGCCGTGTGTCTGGGCCAGCAGCTTGCAGGTGATGTTTGCCCGCTGGTCTGGCTCCGGCCGCTGTCTCCTGGGTGACAGACGTGGCGTCCAGGTGCCGGGCTCTCTGCCCACAGGCTTATTACCCTGTTCTCTGCATTTTGTGGCACCTGGCCAGCCGGCAAGTCCAAGGTCACAGTCTGTCCTGGGGCCCCGGCTGAGCCCATCCCTTAGTAAACCCTGTAGGATCTGGAATCCCTGGGGTGAGGCTCCAGCCGACCAGACAGAGGCCAGCCCACCAGGTGTGCGCGGTGTCATAGGGACAGTCCTGAAGGTGTCAGTTGCCTTCAGACCTGAGATGTGCAGACGCTTCTGCAGGATTCCACAGGTTCCTACCCGGGCTTCATTCCTGCCTGTGTCCCTGGCCCCTACCTGGTCACCTCCTGCTGCACACGGCGCCCTTCCCACATCCAAACGCTACGCAGTGAGTCAGCCAAACAGGCGGCTTTACTGCTGCAGACGCCGAGCTGTCTCCGGGTTTCTGCAGGCCAGGAATCCAGGATGGGCTTGCTGGGCGGTTCTGGCTTGGGGTCCGTCATGGGGTTGTGGTCAGTTGGTGACTGGAGCCCCTGGGGGCTGCCTGGGACCCCCCAGCATAGGCTGGCTGGGCTTCCTCACAGCATGGCGGCCTCGGGGCTGGGGTGGCGTTCTCCACCCTAGCCTTGGAGATCATGCCTGCTGTCACTGCTGCTGTGTGTTCTCGCTCACAACAGTCACCAAGGGCCAGCCCCACTCCAGGAGGAGGGCGCAGAGATCCTGTTTCTCAGTGGGATGATGTCAGATGATTTGCTGACGTGATTTAAAACCATCACAGCTCCGAACCCCCCCATCCACCCAGCGCTCGTTGCCAGATGGGTTTGAAGCACCTGGTGGTGACCTTGCTTTGGCTCAACCCCTTCACCTTGTTTTTCTTTTGTTTTTGGAACTCAGGTGCAGAGATTCGAGTGAATTATACCCTTCGATTCACCGTCTGTCAGCCCTGATTCCTGCAGTGGCTCTCACGCATTCATTCCTCCTTCCTGTCTGTCCCCGTGTCCTGGTCTCATTGTCCTCTCCTCCTTCCACAGACAGCCATTCTGCTCTCTTCGTATGTTTTCTTATAAATATGTGTTTAATTGACACGTGTTGCATTGCATCTTCATCTTTTTCTGCGTCCTTTTCTTCTCCCTGTGTTTCCAAGGCCCAGACGAGCCGTAACGCATCCATCTCCGGTCTTGTCCCCCTGACGTGACGCAGTGAGACTGAGGGGTGGGGAGTGACGTGTCCAAGGTCACACGGCTGAGCTGGGACCAGAGTGCACTCCCTGCATCACACACTCATGTTTCCCTGTGGCCTCCCCGGCTCCTCCCGTAGTTGGAAATAAGATTTTTTTAAAATTGTGAGCCTGGGATCCAGCACGTATCGCAGACGCTCCTGTTTCCTCCCCATAACCGCTGTCCCCTGTGCTCTGCCCTGCAGGTCCCAGCTATGGGAGCCCGCGCCCGGCTCACGCCAACATGAACGCCAACGCGGCCGCGGGGCTGGCCCCCGAGCACATCCCCACGCCGGGGGCCGCGCTGTCCTGGCAGGCGGCCATCGACGCGGCCCGGCAGGCCAAGCTGATGGGCAGCGCCGGCAACGCCACCATCTCCACGGTCAGCTCCACGCAGCGCAAGCGGCAGCAGTACGGCAAACCCAAGAAGCAGGGCAGCACCACGGCCACCCGCCCGCCCCGCGCGCTGCTCTGCCTGACCCTGAAGAACCCCATCCGGAGGGCCTGCATCAGCATCGTGGAGTGGAAGTATCCTCTGTGCTGGGTGCCGCGGGGTGCCCGTCCCGGGGGCCTTCCAAGTGCGGAGCTCCAGGCCCCGTCCAGGCTCAGAGGGCAGCGCGTCTGGGGTCGGGCCTGGGAACCTGCGTGTGTCAGAGGCCCCCGGGGGGGGTGCTTTCTGCATGATAAGCAGTGTTTGAGAAGACAAGCCTCAGATGTAGTGAGCTTGCCCAGGACCCACTGTGTGCTGGGTTAACGGTGGCCCACACCCAGGCCCTGCCCCTCCTCCTGGGCTGTGACCTCCCAGTCCAGGGTGAAGGAGCCCCACGGAGGTAAGGGTGCTGCTCGGCGCCTGGCCCGTGGGGCAGGGCCTGGGAGCATGCCGGCGTCACCTGGGAAGTTGTGCCAGCGCTCCGCCCAGGCCTGTGTGAACTCTGCAGCTGGGGTGGAGGACCCCGCCTGGGTTTCAGCACAGACCCGCTTTGTCTGGGCAGAACCCAGTGAGTGGGGCCTGCAGAGAAAATGGCTTTGAAGGGCTGGGCTCCCACCAGGCAGTCATGCCCCTCAAAGACCAGCAGGTGCACCCCCGACTTTCCCCAGATGACATACACCCACAGGGCCCATGGTTGGTGGCAGGCAGGACTAGAACCCTGGACTCAGTGCCCAGCGTTTCCATAGTCACGGTCCACACAGGCAGGGCTGGCATGTCTCCCAGGGCTCAGGATGGGGTGTTGGGTTTCATTTACGAGTTTCCATGGAAAGATTTAAAAGTCTTGGGAGCGGATGAAAGGTAAAAGATGATTCCAGAGAGAAGAAAGTTTCTGTTCAGTGAGAAATGTTGGTAAATGCCAGAGCCCCCAGGCCCCAGGTCACTTGCAAGGAGGCGGCTGTGGAGCTGGCCCGTCTGTCCTGGGGCCAAGGTGTCCGCTTCCCGGACGGCCAGGTGAGAGCCCCTGCTGCGGGCGCCCTGGTCGGTCTGCTGCCGTGGCTGCCCAGCAGAGCCGTGCGTGGGGGCAGCTGGGGCCTGTGGCCAGAGGCCTCGAGACGGGCAGGAGGCCTGGAGGAGCTGCACCACACAGGTCACAGCTGGCGGCCGGCCGAGCAGGATTCAGGTCCAGGAGCCCGAATCTGAATCTGCGCTCCTGCCTCCTGCGATCCGAGAGTGCAGAGGAAAGGTGCTGGGGACGTTCAGAGGATGCTGAATGGGACACTGGGACCCGGTCTGGGCCTGGACACCCAGCCCAGCAGCCCTGCCGCCTGTGCCCTGAGGGGTCACAGCTCATCCGAACCCACAGAGATGCGGTTTCCTCGTCTGTGGTGGGGAGTAACCTTGGTCACCTCCCCGGGATTTAGCAGGAGCTGTGGAGCCCGGGCCCCCAGGCGCACGCTCAGAAACCAGACCTCAGGAGCCATGTCCAGCAAGCACCCGAGACCTCCCGTCCTCTCTTCCCCTGCTGGGGTGGGCGGCTCCCGGGTGAGGAGTCCTGGGCGCTGAGTGAAGGCCAGGTGACCGCATGGCTTGGAAAGAAGGGGGGCAGCAGTGACACCCAGCGCAGCTGGGGAGCAGTGGGGAGCGTGACATGCCGTCCACGGGAGGCTGGACTCTGGCCCTGGACGGGGGAGCCGCCGTGTTAGCAAGGCCGTTACCCCGGTGCCCACGGTGGGCTCAGCCACCTCCTGTGCCCCTCGGTGGGCAGGAGAGGAAGTGGACCAGCCTCAGCGGGGCTGGGTGGTGGCCTTCCCAGATTGCTGGGAAGGGTGGTGGGAGGTTAGGAGGTGGCCTGTAGTGCCAGCCCCTCAGTGCTCCCGGGACGCTGTCACAGGCAAGGAGGCAGCTTAAAGAGGGTCGGGTGGTCCAGGGAGATGCACCACCTGCAGGGCATCCGGGGTTCTCCCCCAGTTCGCACCTTCTCTTCCAAGCAGGAGCCCCGCACTTTGACATAAGGACACCCTGAACCGAGGGGGGCAGACTGACCACGCAGGAGACACCCTGGGCTGGGCCGTCACCCGCTTGGAAGAGACGGGTGACGTTTGAGGTCTGGGGGCGCTGACCTCGGCCTGCTCAAAGGGCAGCAGGGCCTATGGGAAGAGATGAGTCAGAGGCCTGGCTCTGCCGTTGGCCAGCTCGGGACCTGGGAGAGGTGGCTTGATTTTCTGTGTCCGTCAAGCTGAGGGCTGGGCAGGCCCGCTGCACGCCGTCTTCTTGGCATCAGGGCACATGCAGGAAGTGCCAGTGTTTGTGAGGCCTGCTGGGTGTGTGGACGCCCAGCTCTACCCTCAGGGCACGCTGGCCGGGAGGCCCTGGGCTAAATATTCCCCTGGCGACAAAGGTCCGAGGTGCCCCGTGGCAGAGGAGTGAACAGCGGACTCTGGGCGGGGGTCTGGGTTCCGGTCCTGGCTTCAGCGCCTGCTGTGGGCACTTGGGAAAGTTTCTCAGGCTCTCTGGGCCTCAGGGGTTTGGACTGGACGCTGTCCAGGGTCTGTTCCTGCTCCAAGACTCGTCAGCTTTGTGAGTGCAGGTTCCCTGGGAGATGGAGGGGCCCCTTCTTCCAGGAAAGTCCACCCTCTTTTCTTCCCCCTCCTGTAGGACCCTGACGAGGCTGGAGGCTCAGCCGTGTTGGGGAGGTGGGGGTGGGGGCTGAAACCCACGAACCAGGCGCTGCCTCTGAAGCTCCCTGCGCTGGCCTTCGGGTGAGGGTGCAGGGCGGGATGGGTATTGTCCCAGCTGCTTGTTTTCCTCTTGAGAATGTGTCTGCCCTGATCTCTGATGCAGGAATCCGGGCACGGGGACCTCCCTGAGTGCTGGGGGGTGGACCTGGCTAATCCCTTTAGGCCTGGCACGTCCTCGGGAAAGTCAGGAGGCCCTGGGAGGGCCGGGCCCCCGCAGGCTGAAGAGGCCAGGCGTCTGCAGGGAGAGAGCACAGCCTGCCGTGCTCCTGGGGTCGGGACCCCGGCACCTTCAGGCTCGCTGGACGCGGTCAGAGAGTCAGCGGGGAGGGAAGAACAGTCTAAGCTTCAGGTTAAAAGATTGAAAGTAGCATCTCCAAACTTCAGTGCAAGGTCTAAAGGTCAAGTCCCTGCCTTGCACCCCGCGGGGCCCGCCTCTCCCACCGCGAGCTCCCCGGAGCCCGGGTGTCGGCGAGCCCTGGCTGGAGACGGCTCCGCTCTTTCAAAGCCACCCTGGAGCCCACGTGAGGGAAAATGAAGTCCAGTGCAATCTAAATAAATACAAGACGGGGAAAAGTTTCAGAAATCTGTGTTTACTCTGGCACGCGACTGGCCTCCACTGCTTTGACATATTAGGAAAAACTTTGGCGGGGCCCCACTAGGAGCACTTAAAAAGGCACATGTTTCTTTTCAGAATACAGGGGCTTGGAATGTATTGTTCAAACAAAATTCCTATGAATCTTTGATTCGTTTTTAAAAATATATATTTGTGCGTGTGTGTGTCACTGGCGTGTTAACTTCCTTAACCCCTTCCGCAGGCCATTTGAAATCATCATTTTGCTGACGATTTTTGCCAATTGCGTGGCCTTAGCCATCTACATCCCCTTCCCAGAAGACGACTCCAACGCCACCAATTCCAACCTGGTAAGTGCGCCGTCACGAGCGTCTGCCTTTGCATCCAAGTCGGGGGAGGCCAAGCGCGGGTCACGCGGGCCCGAGCGAGAGCGCGTCTGGCGCGTGCGGACATCTGCCCGGGTGTCAGCTCTGCTGCGCTTTGTTCAGGTCAGCGCCTGTCGTCTCTCGGCCTGTGTTCGGAAGGAGCATGGCGATCAGGTGGCAGTGAGCTGAGTGTGCGCCCAGGAGTGTGAGTTCTGGGCGGCACCCTCAAGGGCAGGTGTTTGCGGGGTCAGCGAGTGTTCTGGGTCATCTGTGGCGTCTGTTTCCGGGGCCTTTGTTCTGCAGGGAGGGGTCGCTCGGGTTATCTGTAGCCTCGGTGCTCGATAAAAAATTTCTAGGAAGCTTATAGGAAAGTGTGTCTCGCAGCCGAGACGTACTGTTTGGTTAGAAAGGTTTTATGTTCTTGGGGACGGTGGCTTTCCATCTGGTTGGTTGGGAGGCCAGGGCTGGCAGTTTGGGTTAGAATGTGTCCATGGAAAAAGTGTGGAGAGTGTTTACTTTGGGCTGAGCGTGAAGTCATCACAGAGGCCTTCGCGCCGTCGGGCATGGGGGAGGGAGCGCTGGAATGCAGCCGGGCGCTCCGGGCGCGGGGCCGCCGGCGCTGAGGGAAGCCCTGTCCCCCGCCGTCCGCTGCCAGGACACCACGGCTCTCACGGGAGCCCCACAGAGCGCCTCTCCTGCCGCCAGCACCTTCCTCTAGCAAGCGAGACCGGACCGTCCGATGAGATGGTTCCTGGAGGAGGCGGGCGGAGCCGAGCCGCCTGCTGCTTCCCTGGCTTCTCACAATATCGCGGGGCCATTAATTATCCTGCTCTTCGGCCGCTGCCCTTTTCCCTTGGCTCCACCAGCAGGTCCGTCTGACGCCCACTGGGGCTTCGTGGCCGGGTTCTCACACGAGCTGCAGCTCCATCTTGGACGATGTTTGGGGTGTGAGGTGGCGGCTGCCGCCCGTGGGCCACATGTGGGGTCAGGCCCGGAGCTGGCTCCTGTGCCAAGTGATGACATGGCCACCGGAGTCCACGTGGCCTTCGGAGGCGTGAATGCGTCCCTTAACAGTCAGGAAAGCTTCGCTGTGTCAAGAGAAATACAAAAGGAGTGTCCCACGTGGCCCCTGGGAGGGCCGCCTCTGTTGGTGTCTCTCCTTTCCCGAGTGTCACCTCCCGCCCCACCCTGTCCTCCCCGAAGGAGCTTCACACTTAATCTAAAGTTTGGAGAAAGAATCCTCGTCTTCTCTGGAAGCCAGTGAATTTTTGGGTCGACTCTGGGCCGGAGCACAGAGGGGTCTGCCGTCATCTTGGGCCCCAGAGCCCAGGAGGATTAGCAGGGCCTCCGGGGGAGCTGGGTGGGCTGGGGTTTGCAGGGCCCACCCCTCCAGGCTGGAGAGCACGGGGTCCCGGGATGTCCTCTGGGGTGGGGGACGCGGAGGGCGCAGAGGGGCGCAGAGAGACGTGGCGAGACAGTGGTTTCTCAAATCGCTCCGCCGAGTGACGACGCTTGCGCTCAAGTCGCTCCGCCGAGTGACGCTTGCGCTCTAAAACTGGGCGGTGCTGTTGGTCGCACGGTTTGGACTTCCGTGCGCCGTGTGTTTACAGTGAGCGAATCTCACGGTGTGTGAGTTGTACCCCAATGACGCTGATATGAAGAAAAGGGTGCCAGCCACATGCCAGCCCACGCCTCTCAAGGCTTCCCGGCCTGTCGCTCTGTCCTCTCAGGTGACTGGCGGGGCAGGGCGGGGCAGGGCCGTGGGTGGAGGGAGAGGTGGTAGGAATGGCCAGGACTTGTGGGGGTTACAGTAGGAGCTGGGGGTGCAGAGGAGAGCGTGGGGGCCTGAAGGGGGTTGCAGTTACCAAGGCAGTGGCTGCCTGTCTCGAGCCGTGGGTTGGGCAGTGACTTTGTGAATTAAGGAAGCATGCTGGGAAGATGGGGGGTATCCTCCATCCTAAATACACACACGCGCATACACACGCGCACACACACACACACACAGACACTTCCCAGCTCCGCTGGCTCCGTCCCTGAACTGCCTTTCGGGGATGTGTGCACACACACAGGGTCGTGCTTTGAGTCTGACATTTCTGAGGCGGGGTCTGCCTTCGCCTCCTCGGCCGGCTCCTCTCTGCTCCCCCCTCGGAGCCCCGGCCCCCGTCCGCGGGGTGCAGCAGACACAGGTCTCAGCTGGCAAACTCGGGAGGAGGAGAAACCTGACTTGTTTTTCTTTCTCCAACAGAACATAGCATCTGACCTGAGGCCCCGCTGGGCCCGGTGGTGTCAGCCTCGGCCCGTCCCCTGGGCTTGTGGCTCCTTCTGGGGTCTCCCCGGGGCCACCGCGTCACTGGCCCGGGGGGCAGACACCCCTTGGCATGCTCCACGCCCGCTGGACCCCCCGGGAGGCCTTGGACTCTGCGCGTGCAGACGGCGTGGTCTCCTGTTCCCCAGTCAGGCTCTCTGGGTCGTCTCTGGGGCCGCGGGGGCGGGATGGGCTGCGGATTCCAGGACGCACCCGGGGTCTCACGCATGTTTGCTTCTCACTGGTGCTCCCGAGTCCATCTTAGGATCTTTGTGGCGTCGCGGTCACCCAGCAAACTCCTCTGGGGTCTTCCAGACTCGTCTGTGACCTGACCTTTGCCCTGGACCTCAGAAGCCACCGTCAGACTTCATCTTCTGCACCCACTGGGCCGTGCCTTCCCTGCGGCAGTGAGGGCCCCGACTGGAAGGCCACGGTCTCTAGGAAAAGCCCTGAAACGAACAGCCAAGCAGAAGCCACGCTGGCTGATGGGGCAGGAGAGCAGGGGCGCCAGCAGTGTGGTCAGGACCCCCCCCGCACAGCTGTTGTCCGGTGCCCCTTGGAAGACCCCCACGCCTTGTTTGGGGCACAGTCGGCTCCCGGTCTGCCTCGTCTCTCTGACTCCCCTTCCTGCGTCTGCGGTCTGTGACTGGGCTCTGTCCTGCCCATCTCCTTCTGGTTTTCCGTCCTCTCCCTTGGTGAGCCCAGCCACTTCCACGATTTCTCATTCCCTTTCTGTGTAGATTGTTCCTAGACTTCTGTCCCCAGCTCCACGCTGGGCCGGTATCCTCTGTACCAGCGCGGCCGCTGGGCAGGGCAGTGACTCCCGACCCTTCTTGGCTGTTGTAAATGCCTGGAGAGCTCGAACGCACAGACGCCAGTGTTTTGGAAGCTCTAGTTCAAGTTTGGAGTTCCAGGGC